CAGCCTTCCCCTCCCTGCCCCCCCCTGGTTCACTCCACCTTGCTCCCCGCTCCCCTCCCTACGTCGCCCTGCCACGCTCTGCTCTGTTCCTGTCACCTTCCAACACTGCAAGCTCCTTTTTGTTCGCAGCCAATTCGGAGCGACCTCTACCATTGCGTTAATGTACATGCGTCTGGCCCATGATCATGTAAGTATTGCCATCGAGTTACAAATTACTAAGTTAAAATGGAGCGTGATCTCATTATTCATTTTGATGGATTGAATGGGAATATACATCGCGATTCAATTTCGAAACAAACCCGGCGCATAAAATGTATTTAGATAAATGGAGATGAAGTAAGATACAGGAAGAGCTAATGATGAAACAATGAGGAAATGAAAGATGGCGGAATAAGTGCATGGAGAGAATGAGTTTAAACGGAAATTCTTATGATGGTAAAGTTTTATAAATTTACTATGATAAATATTTGGAACTTAGCATTTAAGGCCTGAAAACAAAAGTCCACACTATTCACGATGAGATACTCATTTTAGAAACACGTAACACTAGGGATTTAGCTTCTAACAAGTTATTTTTTTTAAACTTTTCATGCGTGTAGTAAACGAAAAAATACTGGTTAGAAGAACCCTTTTAGAATTTTCTTCTAGACCTTGTGTTCAACATTATATTTCTACACGTATTCCTTTCTTTCATTCAACTGTATATGTGTGCGCTCGTATGTTTGTGGTGTTTGTGGCCCTGAGATCGTTATCCATTTTTGTGGGCTACACTCTACGACTGATGGGAGACATCGATGCGCGGTGGTTCAACCTAGAGGAGAGAATAATGGACATTGTCGTCTCGTTGTGTGGGCATTCAATCCGACATTCTACTTATTGCAGGCTTTTGTTTAAAAAAGTATTAAATTTCAAAATTATAATATTAATTTCCTAGAATTTCTAAACAGAGAGTTAAACCAATAACTCGCCTTCTCTAGCACATGAATCGTAGGCAATATACGCCAGGCAGGCAATGTTCACTCTATTATTTACATGTTTATTAAGTAATGTATCCAGTATTACAAGCGTCATTTTTTTAAATTTGGAATATTATCTGATTCTACATCCGCTTTCCCGTTGCACTTCCTTGATGTTTCATCTGCTGTTTTGTCAACCCACCGTAAGCCTTGATAGATACTTTCTGATTCACCCCATAGGTACTCGCTTGAGCCAAGAGATTGAGATTGAGAGATTCAGGTACAAGCATAAACTTGTGTATTCTTGAAGTATGTAATTGAAAACTATGTTCAGTGTGTATGTTTTGCTGTAGCTACTTCAAACGGATTTATTCAGTTATTACTATACTTTTATTTTAGGAAAATAAAGATAAAAAAGTAATGCAAGTATTAAATATTCTATTATCTAATCATAAGCATTCGATTTGATGAAACGATGTGTGAAATTAGAGTAAAAATATTTGGACGTAACGACTTGAACACATGGGAAACTTTGGATTTCAGTTGTAATATCACAAGGGTAATGTTTTAAAATAAATACAACGCGAAAATATAAGGCCCGTTCTGCGAAGTGCAACAAAGACGCAGCGATTCTCCGAAAAGCGATGGAATCTCCTTGGCGGCTGCCCACGCCGACCGATGGCCTTGGGCGACCGCTGCGCTAGGAGAGGAAAAGAAGGCGCGGCCTGCGAGGCCGCTCTGGACCCGCGTGATGCATTTCCTTTGTCAAGCGAGTGCTCATAAGAAATAATTTTCGAAGAAAAGCTATGACTGCTACATCAAAATGAAAATCTTAGAAAAGGACTAAAAATCAACTTCAACACCTCAGTGTTTAAATTTTGTTGAAATTCCTTTGTGTACACGTTACTACTAGGTAGTCAAGACGTACGACAGTTTCAAACCGCTGTTACATCATTTCATTTCTTCCCTCCGTTATTTTTTTAATTACATAATGCTAGAAATACCACTGTTTCTCTCGTAACGTTAGGTCACAACAAGCTTTTGCTTTTCTTGTGCTTCCACTTACAAAATAAGTAAAAAATAAATCTCTTTTCCGTGAAAGAAATAAAACAAAGTGTAAACACGGTAACTTTCATTAAATATTCAGTTGGCCGTGTACGTTTCGTTGTTACTACATCGTCAATATTTTGACGAAACTTAAGATAGATAAGAAATTATTGTTGTTATTCAGAACACGATCTGCGAAGTGTGAATTTTGTACTCTTCCATTATAGGGGAAGCTATATGCTTACACATATAGGTTTTGATTAATGTATCTCAAGGGACGTTTGCAAAATTCTCGTGCGTAAGAGGAATAATTTATTTTTAAATCACTCGACTACACGACTCCCTCTCTATGATAAAAAATAATAGTTATTAACAATAAAATAACAAAATGGAGCCTACTTTTGCCCTATTAGTAACTTTAGATAGCGTTATGACTCGCAGGACGAGATCAACTTTAACACACAATACATAAGGAAATTTGACAAATCTTGTGGACAAAAAAGGGGAATGTGGTGCCGAATATCCGTCAAATTAGATGTTTAGTTACTTTCTACTGTCTATAACATTCACGCAGTCAAACCGAATGTTAGTATTCGCCCCACAAGAATATTAATCCAATCAGTCAGACGATAGCGGGTAACAAAGAAATCAAGATACACAATTATTAAAAACATAATCCTCCTTTTCGCTTCGGGCAGTCGGTTCGTCCCCCCTTCCCCCGCGACCAATAAAATGCCTGAGAATGGAGCCTCGGTGGCTGCACTGCGCAGGCACCGAGGCGGCCGCCCTTCTCCGCCCGCAGGCAGCGCTGGCCTCGCGCCCTCTCCCCCTCCCCCGCCCGGGCCGCTGACAGTCGAGGCCGGAGGCGCGCCCGCTCACCAAGCCGCTGCGGCCGCTGCAGCCGGATCTACCGACCAACCGTTGAGCAAGCCAGCCTTGTTCCTGCCCGCCCCCACCCCTCCCGCCCCGTGCCGCCCCGCGACCGCCTCGCCCGCGCCGCCTGCGCGCCGCCAGCGCGCCCCTCCGCTCAGGCACTCGCAGGGGCCAAGGGATCGCATTAGATGCACTGCGACTCTGCCTCATGAACCGAAACCACTAGATACGGAAACTATTGCGCCAACTCGCGAGGACTTGGAAAAAAATAATTATTTCAATAAAGCGTGTATTTAATATCTTCCTTTTCTAAACTTTCATTTCCTTATGCAGCATTTCATGTGGAACTCACAGCCTCCGAAGAAATGTCGCTATTGGAAAGTGGCGAGGTCAGGAAATGTGTGTGGCTCAAGTTGCCAGTCTGCAGACAGAAAGTTGTGTACACACCATGTTCAAGTAGTCACTTGACTCTCTCTTTGCTGATGACTTTATGACAGTCACCGCGCTCATTGAGTAGTCAGCAAACGTTCGTTGACATCTTGCAGATGTATCAATGCAATTTAGTTCTCAGCCGAGTGATTATTTGTAACTTGAAAGATAAGCAGATGCTGCATATCTTATCATAATTTATATGATATATATGCATTTTCTAGTAAATGTCTTGATATTATAGTTATGAAATATTTATAACTAAATGAATTTGATAAAGTTTTGTAAATAAACAAAATATTTAAAATGATCTAATTTTAATGAGTTTTATACTAATTAAATATAACATTAATCATAAGTTTATCATCAAACCCTGCTTTCAAAAGATTGCCAAAAGCTGTGAGAGCCGGTTTTTGGTAATCCAGATGTTGTGACATCAAATCCTGTCGGTGTTTTCGCTTTCTGAAAGCGTCGTGAAAGGCAAACACAAACCAGGAAGGATCTCAAAGCGCCAGTCATATGTTGTCATTTGTAAGTTCACCTTACAAAGGAAACCAAGTTCCAGAGACTAGAAGTAGATAACATTGCATTTTAATGTATTGTAAAGCGATGTTCTACTCTTGATTTTTGAGACTCCACTCGTGCAAGAGGCCTAAACCAGTAAAGGAGCAAGCACTCAACTAAGAAATCGGACAGTTGCCGCGGCAAAGGAGCCTGCGCAGTGTGACGAGGCGCTAAGGCCGGCTCCTCCCGGGAGAAAGCCCTCAGTCGCAACTTTCGCTCGGGCCCCGAGACATCTCCCCACAGCAAGTGCTGCCACGCTCACTTCATTCGCAGCCAACACAATACAACTGTGATTCACCTTCCAGCCCTGCATCGGACTACGGTCACAAGGGTTGCTTCAAGTTTTACATGTCAGACAGTGTCAAATGTGTGCTCTCTGCATCTATCGTGTTACGTCGTAAATAAACAGAGCGCCATGTACCTAGTCCGTCGGCATTGGTTATGAAGTGGGTTTTAAAAGCGAATACCCAATTTACATTTCATATCATTTTCTATTTATTGAACAATATTTTGAAAATTGCATGTAGCAAATATTTAAATGTTGATATCCACTTTCTACACACATTTTTTACACTTTCCCTCCACATAAAAGGGTAGCAAGGTTGAATAATATTATGATCTTAATTTTATAAATAAATCATTTCTAATTTTTTTAAACTAAAGGAATAGGGCGTCAGTTAAAATATTAATATCGCATGTGTCTTTTATTAATGTCTATTATGAAATTAATTTCATTAATTTGTCTTTCATTATTGTAAGTAGATAAAATGACTACGATATTCTGTGCTACTACTCGTATATAACAGTTATGAACATTAGTTATATGATAATTTCAAAATACTATTTTTTGTTTTGTTTTAGTACATGCTTTGTCACGAATTTAGAATCTTTTTGAAGAAACAGGCGGCAATGATGCAGCGATACAAACGGTTAGAACAGCTTTCTTCCTTTCGCAAAAGAAATAAAACACTGCATAGAATGAAGTCTACCTAGTGTCCATTGCACAAATGAAAACATACATCCGTGTTAAACTCTCTGGAAGCACGACTTTCATTTCTTTTGCTCACACGTTCGCAAAGGAACTTTCCACGTCGATTTTCCACGGCTGTTATGGTCTACGAAAGAAAGTGACTTTGCTGATGTAATAACCAACATGAATTTGCGAACGACTTTGTGAAGAGTACAAAATTTAATAATTATCTAACACTTCAGATACTTGTTAATGTCAACTTAACAGGTTCACTGTCCAAGTATTGATGTAATGCACAGGAATGACTTGAACCAAGTTCAGGCAGCTTATAGAAGTGTCATGTAAAATTCCACTGAGTTATACTCTTAAAAATCGAACTTTCATAATGCGATTTCAGTACTTAATGAACATACAACATTCTATTTATGGAAGAAACATTTTCAATTTGGTTTTAAACGTATACAGTATTATTGTTGTAGTTTATCGTTAGCATTCCTGAAGATTCACATAGAATTTATATTGCAGCAGTGAACGTGTTAATATGATTGATATGTTAAATAAGTACGATAACTTATTCGACTACAAAAAGTGAATATATTTTAACAGTAAGAAAAGCGTATGCTATCTCTATGGATAATGTTAAATTTTTCACTTTTTAAAAACGCAAGAGTAAACGCGCTTCGAACCCAATTGCAGTGCTCTAAGAGCATTGCCAATGTGTGCAAGAGCGGAAGCAGAGGGAGGAGCACTCACCGACGCCCAGGGCGAGCAGCAGCAGGCAGAGCGAGGTGCGTGTCATGGCGGCGTTGGCGGAGGCGGCGGTCGGACGTCGTCTCGGCCCGAGAGGCGCGCGCGACCGCCTTTTTATTTTATATGGCGGCGGCGGCGGCCGCCGCGCATGCGCCCCGCGCGCTTTCTCCCGCGCCGCCGCGCCGGCACGTGGCGCTCCTCGCGGCCGCGCCGCGCGACTCTCTCCCCTTCCGCCAGGCGGCATTTCGCGCCCACTGCTATGGTCATTAGTCCCCTAAGAGCGGGGCACGAGATCCGGCGCCGACCTACAGGGCATCTTGCGAGGTTTCTCTTTTCGGGTATCTCCCCTACCGTGGCACTGCTCCCTCAATGGAGCGGCGAGTCCGTAATTCGTGTTTCCGGAAGCGTCAACAGCTATGGCCATCAGCCTCGTAAGTGCAGGAGGGTAGGTGTTTCCTGGGAGATGGCGGTATTTCTCCTCCGCTGGTCTGTGAGTTTTGGCCTCTACAGGTCGACTTGCCAGGTTTTTCACTCCAGATATCTCCCCCAGCGTCCCCCTCCCCCAGATATCTCGCCCCCTCAATAGGGCGGCGAGTCGGTATTTCGTGTCTCCGGGCGTGTCAACTGCTGTCATTAGCCCCGGACGTGCTAGACATGCTACGTAACGGGAGGCGGCAGTCCCCCGCTGGACTGTGAGATTCGGCGACGAACTACAGGACTGCTTCCGAAGTTTCACTCTTCAGATACCTGCCCTAGCGAGCCACTGCCGCAGCCTCGTGTGCAAAATCTAAGCACCTGATTTGTCTTTCGATATGTTTTCTTGATTTGATGTACAGAACGTCCAGTGGTCACCCTTCCAATGCAGGAATCAGCGCGAAACGATTGAAAACCCTTACGCTCAAATGAATACTTGTTAATAGCTTTCTTCAGTTCAAGATCTGTAATATTTTATCACTCTTAGTTTAGAGGGCAATAGGTTCATGTCCCGTTTCGAGCATGGATGTTCACTTGTTCTGTGACATTGTGGGGTGATCCCAACCGCCATCTGTCGCGTTTTAACCCTCTTCCTTTCATTCCCGGCCGAGAAGTGTGACGAAGGGACTCAGAACTCGTACTTGGACAAGCTCCTTTGTCTAGTGTCTCGGGTCACAGAGGTGTCCAGTGTATGAACGTAACCTTAGGCGCCGAAGATGTGTGTTTCATCCTTGAACCCAAACCGTATTTTTAACTCCTTCGGAGGAATAAGATGAGAGCACGCTCTATTTGTGACCGCTTCCTCTGTCAGGGCTGAGTGAGACGGGCTTCTGTGGTACGCTTGCCTCGCGAGCCCCTCAGCGCGAAGCATGGGTACTGGGCAATGGGTCTGGAGAACGGGGACTGGGGAATGAGGACTGGGGACTGTTAGACTCCGCGATGCTACTCTTGTGATGATAAGTCTTAACCGGGGGACGTTCGTAGGCACCGAAAAATGCGTACTCTTAACACACTCGTTCATTATTTAAAAACAGTGGCGCTACAACAGCTCAAACTTTCTCGCATTATTTCCTTTGCAATTTTCGAACATTCAAAGATTTCAACGAAAAGTAGACCCATGCCATTTTTAAGCGTCCTTTTCTCTACGGGCGAAAAATTTGGAGCGTTTCTCAGATCTTATTTTTTTATAAACTGCATACACTTTAAACAGAAATGTTGCAAAATCTATAAATTTAAAAAGTATACATGTTTTCAAATATTTAATTTTTTAGAACAGATTTTATTAAACAGAAACCTTCTTCTTTGATATTGTAATTGAAGGAAGACGTCGAAAAATTTAAACTTTTACAATTTTCGAAAAATCAAGAATTTTAACTAAATAGAAAACCCGGCAATTTCAAAGATTTATTTACCCTATCCGAGGTCAAAGTATAATAATAAAAAATTAAAGCATATTTGAAAAAAGTTTGGAAATGTAGTTAACTCTTCATGTCAAGTATTTCTCTATATAAAAATATTCGTTATAAACTTGTAGGGCTTTGAGTTCGTTCATATCGATGAGGGAATATGAATTTTGAAGAAAATCGTCAGAATGGTTTGGACATTAGCGTTGATCACTTACAGACAGACTGACGTTTTGCGACTTTAGACCAACTCGACTTTTTGGTATCAAGAACCCACAGATTGTAGATTCTGACTAGTGGAGGTTCTAGTTTACTACATATAAGTAGTTACACGATAAGATTTATCCACTTTTAATTTACCTGGGACCGGTAATAACAATTTTCGTCTCAAAAAATCACCGATTTCCGGCGCACATTTACGAAATAATACTTGCCTTTCCGAAGTCAGTCGAGAAAGTTAAAACTAGTAAATTGCAGTGAAATAATTTTGAAACGCGTGTGGATGTACTTCGTCTGGGTTCACTCGCCACTTCAACGCGAAATCGAAAACAAAAGTGAAAATTACTTATTTCATTGAAGTCGAGACACGTATACGTAATGTTTATAAATACATAATTATTTACTGATCATGCTGATCAATTTTTTACGTGCGATAATTATTTAAACTAGGGTGCTCTTGCAAGAACTCTCGCATGTTAAACTCCACTTTCTTTCTCGTCCTTCCGTTTCCACAATAAGGGAGAAAGTTGTTAACGAAACGTGCTGGTTTAAAAAATGTATGAAGGTAACCTCCAATGTAATTACAGAATATCAAATAAAGATAAGAAACAGTAAAATTGATATTTGAAGCAAATTTTCAATAAAAGATTTTTCGGTATTATAGACAGATGCTCTTGGAACAATTAACACTTTGTTAAAACATTTGAATTTGCTTTTCGCTTTTTTTCATAGTCACAAAAATATTACAAATAGTTACAAAAATCCGACTCTTTCATTGTTTAAAATTGTAATTGCAATGCAATGAAGTATAGAGAAGGGCGATCCAGCAAAATTATAATAGAATATACAAGATCTCATCCTGTATATTACGGTGCGAGGAACGTTTCTTTGAAGTCACTGACCTCAAATTTACATGTTTTAAGGCTCTAGAACACTTTGTTTGAGAGTTAACTATGATATTTCAAAAACGCTGCTAAAGTGTTGCGGGTTGCATTTGACACACTTATTTAGATGCTATTTTTGAAACAAATC